TGTTTCTTTTTTACCTTAAAAAACTCTCCAGAGTACAGTACAATTGTATAACACCTCACAGTTCAACAATTTAAGGATGCATTGCCCATGATTAACAATGTGCAAATAACAACCACCATAGTGCAATGCCCATACAACTGCCAGCCTGATGTGCTTAACACTCATTCTGCTCACCAGTGAGCAGAGAAGAATTTCCTGTGTGTCATGGTTTCTACACGGACCACTATTGCGGTAAGCATGTTGTAACTTCCGGTTGTTGTTGTCACCTCCGGGTATCCCGTGTGCCTGTTCTGTTGCTGATAGCCTATTATCTTAACTGAATCGATCATTTTAAAACTCTTGATCACAGCAACTGCCTGACGTTGTAATCACACGTTACTATAGCTTAAGCACTCACAACTCTCCTTCTCTTAGCGACTGTAACTCCACAGTTGCCTACACTCTTTTCTGGTTTGCTAACGGTAGCTACTTTAGCTTGATAGCTAGCCATGGCTCTTTCCCCACCCTCGGGTGCTATTTCCTGCTCTACCTGTCTCATGTTTGGTTACTTCCCTTCCTCCTTTACTGGTACCGATACATGTGTTAAATGTAGTATAGTTGTTAGGTTGGAGGCGGGAATCATAGCCATAGAAGCCCGGCTCCGCATCTTAGAAAGTAACTCAGCTGCCCATGTTAGCCGGTGCAGACCGGCAAAAGGTAGCTCCTATTAGCCGTCCCCCGACAACTCCCGAGCAGCAGGGAGACTGGGTGACTGTTCAGAAGGGGCATAACGCGAAACCCGCAGGTCCCCACCAACCCGTTCACGTATCTAACAGATATTCCCCACGCACCGAGACACCCGCTGAGAAGCCAACTCTGGTTATTGGTAGCTCTATTATGAGATACGTGAATTTAGAGACCGAAGCCTCCACAGTCACATGCATTCCGGGGGCCAGAGCGGGCGACGTTGAGGCGCATCTTAAACTGCTGGCTAAAAATAAACGTAAATACAGTAGGATTGTTATTCACGTCGGTGGTAATGATGTTTGTTTATGCCAATCAGAATGCACCAAACTTAATGTGGAGTCGGTGTGTAGTTGTGCTAAAACAATGTCGGACACTGTAATCTTCTCTGGTCCCCTCCCCAATCTGATCAATGATTACATGTATAGCCGAATGTCATCATTTCAGCGCTGGTTGTCTTGGTGGTGCCCAGCAAACAATGTGGGCTTCGTAAATAATTGGACAGCCTTCAGGGGAAAACCTGGTCTGATTAAGAGAGACGGCATTCATCCTACTTTGGCAGGTGCAAATCTCATTTCGGCAAACATTTCAGGGCTTTGTGGACTTAATCCATGACAAATTGGAGTTGAGACCAGGAGGAGGAGTCGCAGTCTTACACGCTTCTCTGCACTCTCTCCTAGGCAGTCATCCATAGGAATCCCAAACCCAATAAAATACCCAATATTAGCGGTGTGTGTGTCTGCCCATGGACAATTTAAGGTAAAACCTAATAGAGGTGTCATACATAATAACCTAATAAAAGTAAATGTAACAACTACTACAGTGCAACAAAACAGGAAGATTAAATGTGGTCTCTTAAACATAAGATCTCTAGCATCTAAAGCAATATTGGTACATGATTTAATATCAGATTATAATATTGATATATGCTGTCTCACTGAAACTTGGTTGAGACATGAAGAATATGTCAGCATAAATGAGTCCACTCCACCCAGCCATATCAATACTCATATTGCCCGAGGCACAGGCCGAGGAGGTGGAGTTGCAGCAATCTTTGACTCAAGTTTACTTATCAATACTAAACCAAAATTAAATTATACCTCCTTTGAAAGTCTCGTTTTTAGTCTTACGCATCCGACCTGGAAAACTTTGCAGCCAATCGTATTTGTTACAGTGTACCGTGCACCAGGTCCTTATTCAGAATTCTTATCAGAATTCTCTGAGTTTTTATCAACTTTGGTACTTAAAACAGATAAAGTAATTATCGTAGGTGACTTTAATATTCATGTTGACGATGATAAAAATAGCCTTACTGTTGCATTAATTCTATATTAGATTCTGTTGGTTTTTGTCAGAGTGTAAATAAACCAACCCACTGCTATAATCACACTCTCGACCTTGTTCTGACTTATGGTATTGAAATTGAGCAACTATTAGTCGAACCGCATAATCCTGCATTATCCGACCATTTCTTAGTAACTTTTGAAGTACTGTTACTAGACTACAAAGCATTAGTCAAAAGCTCCTGCAGCAGAAACTTATCTGTTAGTGCTATAGGCAAATTTAAGGAAGAGATTCCACCAATACTTAACTCGATAGCATGTCTGCATGTAAGGGAGGAAACTTATACAAAATGTACACCACCCCAAATTGATCATGTTGTTGATAGTGCTACAGATGCGCTGCGAATAAAATTAGACTCTGTTGCTCCTTTGAAAAAGAAGAAAATAAAACAACATAGATTAGCTCCATGGCATAATGCCGAAACCCGCAAAATAAAGCAAAAGTCGAGACAACTTGAAGGGATATGGTGTTCCACTAAACTTGAAGAATCTCGATTTATTTGAAGATTTTCAGTCTGGCTTTAGAACACATCATAGCACAGAGACAGCTCTGGTTAAAGTCACAAATGACATTCCAATAGCCTCAGACAAGGGACTTGTCTCTACTCTTGTTTTGCTCGATCTCAGTGCTGCATTTGATACTATCGACCATGATATCTTATTGCAAAGACGAGAGCACTTAGTTGGCATACAGGGAACTGCCTTAGGCTGGTTTAGGTCCTATCTATCTGAACGCTCTCAGTTTGTACGTGTCAACGATGAATCTTCCACGCAAACCAAAGTTAGCCATGGAGTGCCACAGGGCTCAGTGCTCGGACCTATTTTGTTCACATTATACAGTATATGCTTCCGTTAGGCAATATTATAAGGAATCATTCTGTAAATGTTCATTGTTATGCGGATGATACTCAACTATATTTATCAATGAAGCCTGATGAAATTAATCATCTAAATAAAATTCAAGACTGCCTTAAGGACTTAAAAACGTAGATGACCTTAAACTTTTTGATGTTAAACACGACCAAAACTGAAGTTATTGTACTTGGCCCGAACAATCTACGAAACAAATTATCTAAAGATATACTAACTATGGATGGCATTAATTTGGCCTCCAGTGAGACTGTAAGGAATCTTGGTGTTATATTTGATCAGGATTTATCCTTTAACGCCCACATAAAATCAATTTCAAGGACCGCCTACTTCCATCTACGTAACATTGCAAAAATCAGGCATATCTTGCCTCAAAACGATGCAGAGAAACTAGTCCATGCATTTGTTACTTCAAGGCTGGATTATTGTAACTCCTTATTATCAGGGTGTACCAAGAAGTCAGTCAAGTCGCTTCAGCTGATTCAAAATGCTGCAGCTCGTGTACTAACCAGAGTTAGGAAAAGGGACCACATTACTCCTGTTCTGGCTGCCTTACACTGGCTCCCTATAGGACACAGGATATAATTTAAAATTCTTCTTCTCGCCTACAAAGCCCTTAATGGGCAGGCGCCATCTTACCTTAAAGAACTCATTATACCCTACTGTCCTACTAGGGCATTGCGTTCCAAGAATGTAGGGTTGTTGGTTGTTCCTTGAGTCTCTAAAAGTACAATGGGAGCCAGAGCCTTTTCTTATCAAGCTCCACATTTGTGGAATCAGCTTCCAGTTTGTGTTCGGGCGGCAGACACCCTATCCGTTTTGAAGAGTGCGCTTAAGACCTTCCTTTTTGATAAAGCTTATACAGTTGCAAGAAAAAGTATGTGAACCCTTTGGATTCTCCACACATAGCGTTGTGTGTTCCTTCCAAACAACTCAACTTTGGTTTAATCTGTCCACAGAATATTTTGCCAGTAGTACTGTGGAACATCCAGGTTCTCTTTTGCAAAATTCAAACGTGCAGCAATGTTTTTTCTGGACAGCAGTGGCTTCCTCTGTGGTGTCCTCCCATGAACTCCATTATTGTTCAGTGTTTTACGTATCGTAGATTCGTCAACAGAGATGTTAGCATGTGCCAGAGATATCTTTAAGTCTCTAGCTGACACTCTAGGATTCTTCTTCACCTCATTGAGCATTCTGCGCTGTACTCTTGCAGTCATCTTTACAGGACGGCCACTAGGGAGAGTAGCAACAGTGCTGAACTTTCTCCATTTATAGACAATTTGTCTTACCGTGGACTGATGAACATCAAGGCTTTTAGAGATACTTTTGTAACCCTTTCCAGCTTTATGCAAGTCAACAATTCTTAATGGTAGGTCTTCTGAGAGCTCTTTTGTGCGAGGCATGGTTCACATCTGGCAATGCCTCTTAAGAATAGCAAATTCAAAACTGGTGTGTATTTTTTATAGGGCAGGGCAGCTTTAACCAACACCTCCAATCTCGTCTCATTGATTGGACTCCAGGTTGGCTGACTCCTGACTCCAATTACACTGAACAAAAATATAAACGCAACACTTTTGTTTTTGCTCCCATTTGTCATGAGATGAACTCAAAGATCTAAAATATTTTCTATATACACAAAATAACCATTTCTCTCAAATATTGTTCACAAATCTGAAAAAAATCTGTGATAGTGAGCACTTCTCCTTTGCCGAGATAATCCATCCCACCTCACAGGTGTAGCATATCAAGATGCTGATTAGACAGCATGATTATTGCACAGGTGTGCCTTAGGCTGGCCACAATAAAAGGCCACTCTGAAACGTGCAGTTTTGCTTTATTGGGGGGTCTGGGGGGGTCCGAAAACCAGTCAGTATCTGGTGTGACCACCATTTGCCTCACTATTTTCACTCACACATACGCGACCCACTCAAAACGGGTCCCACCAGTTGAGAACCACTGTTCAAACCATATTGTGCATTAATATTGTATTTTCTAAACAGGTTGTGATCATTCATTTGGGGATAACAGTGTTAGGAATATAATTGTGATGAAGTGCACACTGACCTGAGCTCCAGGGGTCTTTTTTTTCTCCTCCATGCTGCTCTCAGTGCTCCTTCTCCGGCTGTGTCTCTGAAATAATCAACACAACTACAGCTGACACAACACAAGACAACTCAATACAACCGACAGACACAACAAGACAAATCTACAGCTACGTCTTAGGTTAATAAACTTGAAATGTTTAGCTCTATGAAACCTGATGTACTTATATGATTCTGTTTTCTTCAAGGTTGTGTCTTCCTGGTCGAATGTACTTATTGTAAGTCGCTTTGGATAAAAGCGTCAGCTAAATGCAATGTAATGTAATAGCAGAGGCGAGAAGTAACTAAGTGCATTTACTCAAGTACTGTACTTAAGTACTATTTAGAGGTACTTGTACTTTAATATTGAAAAGGAATCTAACTTTGATACAACCAACGTTAATATCTAGGTCATCTCTGATACTGATACTGAGCTCAGATGCTGATAAGGCTCCGGAAAACGGCCGTCCTACCTTTAGGACCAGTGGCACAGCCCCACCTAGTGTCAGCAGAAAGTATTAACAATAATGATTACAAAAAAATATAAAATATATTTTAAGATCATATTTAATCATCTGATTCGTCTGTACATTGCTGTTTTAGTCTGTGTTCTTCTAATTAGTGTCTACAGTGTGTGCCTATTGAGCTGTTTAGAGCCATGTGGGACAAAACCCGATCATGCCCCTCCCTCTCACTGTCTAAGTCAATGGTGACTGTAAAAACTACACTGCGCATGCTCAGAGTATTTTCCTATTTAATGTGTGTGGCAAAAAAAGAATGACCATGGGGCATAGTGCAGCCATCCCCACCATACGTCATCTCACATAATTCAGAGCTGATTGGCTGTAAGTACGTGTGCCGCGAAAAGTGTGGTGTGTGAAGAGGAGACGAGAGAGGTGCAGTGACGCATCCTAAAACCCGGAAGTAAGCTGCGCATCACTTCCCTTGACAAAAAAGCAATGATATATCTCCATAGGATTTTAGAAAATAGCTCGAAATAAGATCTGTGGGAAACAAACCTGTTAGATAAATGCACGTTTTGTTCAGCCGGATAATATCCACATGTCTACCCTACTTTTATAATGTTCGAATCATAAATCTATTGATTAGATTAGATTTATGATAGACTTTTGAAACTACAAGAAGATAAGGAGGACTTTTACAAAAAAGTGATAGAGATTTTTGTCCAGAAGGATAGGCAAATGGACTTCATCTTCAAGTCAAGGTAAGACCGCAATTTTATTGAAAATGGGATCTTACTTAGAGAGAACAATTCAATATGTAAATGATAAAATTACATTTTTTGGGTATCCTTTTTGTTGAACTGTCTGTTTAAAATTAATCGAAGCATCAGACAAAAAAAGCTTTTGAAAATAATATTATATTTTGATTTAGGTAAAAATATAATATTTGTAAACCTGAAGAGTCAGTGCCTCACCAGCCATGAACCTCACCAGCCATGAACCTCACTGCGCGTCACTGCAGAAGCTTATATATAGACATCTAAGTTTTTGTGCCCCACCACTTTTGTACGTATAAAAACGCCACTGTTTAGGACTAACCCCAGAATCTAAACGCAAGATCAACGTAATCTGCTTAGGGGGGCAGCTAACAGCTTGGCCTCTAACACCAGCTGCCCGTCGTATCACTTATTTCAGGCACTAAAGCATCAGATGTCCGACCGCCAGGATCGCAAAACGGAGTGTGTAGTGCAGTAGGTGTTGTTGGGCTGGTAGAACCCAGAGCAGTATCTAAACTGCCCCTGGAGGAGAAACCCTGTGTCGTTGGGAGACTCCCTGCTAATTAGGGCCGCTTCAGGACCCACAATCTCTAACCCCCTCTTTTAACCAGTTATGCCAATTAAAACAATGCAAATGTAATATCAAACATAGCCAGTCAAATATAGATATACAGCAGTGATATTACCACATCAGCAGAGCACATGTCATATTTCAGCATCAATCAATCAACCACAGTAACCAATATGAAACTACAGTTTAACCTTAGCAGGGTTTCTATTTCCCTTAAACAATTTCAAGTCCAAATTATCAACTACTGTCAGCCTTTTCCAAAGAAGGGTGTTCTTACCTTACTCTAAGACCAAGCAGATACCTTCAGAGACCACCAGAGAGACCAGGAATTGGGTCGAAATGTACAAAGTACAAACCGGTTTTATTAGGTTTTTAACAAATATAGAGGATTTACAAGATCCAAAAAACAACATAAGTTTTACAAGGTCAAAGTACAAAAGCAACAGGTTCCCAAGTGAACCCCCTAGAGCCCTAAAAGAGCCCAAGACCCAAATTCAAGCCTCAAAAAAGTCCCACCAAGTTCCCCCGTTTCTCTTCACTCATCTTTTATAGCCTCTTCCCTCCTCCCTCTCTACATCAGATGGTTTCCCCTGTTCTATCTTTGAGTGAGAAGGAGGTCACATAGGTTCAATTCTTACTCAATTACAAATATAAAGTTACAATTTAAAAAATGAAGACTATAGTAATGATATGCAATTTTAACAAAAGGGAATATGAACATGTTCATGAAAGCAAAACACATTTTAAATTTCATGTTTAGAATTGAAATGTATTTTAATTTCTATTTAAAATATGCAAATGTAATTTATTAACAGAAGCAAACTTAACAAAACTGTCTCTATTGTCTCTAAGATGTGTTTCTCCTGGATGTTGGATCTAAAATCATCAAGTCTGTACACAGTTCGCTCTCATCCTGTGTGCATTGTTGTCCTCAATCGTTGTAACCGTTGTCAAGGTGTCAAAAACCACAATACCTTCCTAGAATTGTGGTTGGAACTTTTATGCTTTGCTTGCACCTTCTAAAATGCATAATGTGCATAGGTTAAGAGTTCAGGATGTTCTGTCTAGTTGCACATGTCTGAAAAGACTTTATTGAGACATACATCCTTTCCATCAAACCAAATTATAGCCAATTTAGCATTTGTTGTCAATGGTAAGCTTAATAGAGGTAGGTGAGGTAAAAGTGAGGTCTGTCACGGCGACTTGAACAGCAGGTCTGTCAACACTATTTCCGTTTAATGCTACTTTGTACTTTTACTCCACTACAATTCAGAGGTAAATGGTGTACTTTTAGTCCACTATGTATTGAATACCTTTAGTTGCTTTACATATGTGGATGAATGATGTGAAATATAATTAACTCTTAAATCAGACTTTAGTTCCACCTGGAGTAAATTCACAAGCTATCCTGCAGTATACAAAGTCATTCAAACTAGACACAAAAACACACACACATCCACCCACCCACACCCTCTTCGTCCTGGTTCTTCAGTCTTTCTTCTCCTTGATAAAACACTGCTGTTAAACACACTAATCTCCGTTTAATGCCTTTACTTATGTTTACCGATTAGCAACGTGGTATAAAAAGCAACAAACAAAAAACGGGAGGCAACAAAAACACGGTGTAACAGATAAATCACCCTCCAAGGATAAACTAAGTATTTGTATGTGTTTTAAAAGTACATTAAACACATTACATTCGGTATAAAATCTGCTTCAACGTCTGTTAGCAACGTCTAGCTTCTGATGACCGGAAACTAGAAACGAACAGCCGCAATGCATCATGGGATTTTAGTTTTTCTTTTTAAACATAAATTCACTGCCTCCCTGTGGTGAAACACGGTATTAAAATAAATATGAATTACAACAATAATAATAATTTATATAATAATAATAATAATAATAATAATATATAAATATGGGACTGGTATGGCGGATTTTGAACGTTGGGAAAAATGTTTCTGTTTGTAATCATACATTTGTTTTCCATTATATAGGTTTTGATATAATGATTGATCATTAAAGTGTTATCAAAGCTGGTAAAGGTGCAGCTATTTTAATGACTTTGTATACTGCAGGGTATTTTCTGATTTAACACTTGATTGTATTTATAAAAGTAGAAGTACTCAGATCTTGTACTTGAGTAAAAGTAGAAGTACCAGAGTGTAGGAATTACTCTGTCCTGTATTCAAAATGTTACTCAAGTAAAAGTAGAAAAGTATTCTCATCAAAATATAGTTAAAGTAGTGACAGTAAAAGTAGTCATTTTGCAGATTGGTCCATTTCAGAATAATATATATGATGTGCTTTATAATTATTGATATTACTGACATGACTGCAGGAGAAGCAGCAGCTAAATGCTCGTTAGCTTAAATCCTGCAGGGAACCCAACACCAACACCTACACAGACACAGACACATAAATAACATAAAGGAATCACAATGATAGTAATTTACTGTGTGCGTTATCATCATCGAGTTCAAGGTATACATTGTTATTTAAATATGTCGTTATGTTATGTATTGTTTCTACTTTAAAGAGTCCTCTCCTGCTGATGTTCAGGTGTATATCAGTATGTAGTGTCTCTACTTTAAAGAGTCCTCTCCTGCTGATGTTCAGGTGTAGATCAGTATGTAGTGTCTCTACTTTAAAGAGTCCTCTCCTGCTGATGTTCAGGTGTATATCAGTATATATTGTCTCTACTTTAAAGAGTCCTCTCCTGCTGATGTTCAGGTTTATAATGAATACTGATTCTTAAATCCTGAGCTGCATCCCTGCTCTGTTCAGATCTGATTTAGCTCTGTTTGATACGAAACAGTTGCACAAATGCAAACACACTTGATTGTATTGCCGCTAACAGTGTGCAGTCTGCAGAGAGTGGAGGTTACATAACAGCTGTTCAAAGAGGATTAAAAGAAACTCCAGAGAGGAAGCAGAAACTCTGATACTGAAATCAGACAGGAGCTGGCAGATAATGAGAGATCACAAATACAAAGTCTAATAAATTAATAATATGGGAGATATACTGTATCTATTTTAGCTCAGAGTTTAATGATCAAACTAACTTCAGTGTTTTAAATAGGATGTAATGTGAAAAAACATCAAACTAACTTCAAGTTAAAAACAATTCAATAATGATAAAAAAAATAACTTCACTTTTCTGGGCTATAAAATGCCAGTAATAATAACTAGAAAATGCATTTCCTGCAGAAAATGCGTGCGAATGCTGTAAACTGTGAACATTTATTGCTGAATTTAGCTGAAAATGCAGAAAAAGCTGAATATGTTATTAGCTGAACAGAAAAAGCTTAATATTTAAAAGAAAAGTTTAAAAAAAAGGTATAAACAACAACATGTATAGCCTTGATGTCCTGAAATAGCTGAATAATGTAATAGTTGAATGGTTTCTGCAGCTGAAAATAGGCTGAAGGAGTTAAATATCAGATGTACGTAGTAGTGAATTAATTTGTATTAAGATGAGAAAAGAAAGTAAAAAGGCTTGGGAAAGCAGAAGAATATTTGAACTGCAAACTTTTGAACTAACTTGATGGTGAATGATCTGTCGCCATGCCAACGGCATTTGATGACATCCCATAATACCCTTAGATGTGTTGATGGCTGCATCGTTACCAAACCTGTGAAGTTTTGGGCCATTTCGAGCATTTTCACTGAAGTTATGAGAAAACCGTGTTTCATGGTGAGCATTGTGTTGCCATGGCAACCACATTTGAAGAAATCTCAAAACTTTCCCGTAGATGTCTTCACGGCTTGACTGTTAGCACACATGTGAAGTTTGAGCACTTTTTGAACATTTTCATAGGAGTTATACATTACATTAGGAGGTTACATTACTCTCTCTCTTCTCTTGATCACCCTCTCACTCTTCTCTCTCTCTTCTCTTGATCGCCCTCTCTCTCTTCTCTCTCTCTTCATCGCCCTCTCTCTCTTCTCTCTCTCTTCTCTTGATCGCCCTCTCTGTCTTCTCTTGATTAGGGTGACCAGATGTCCCGCTTTGCGCGGGACTGCACAGCATTTTCAAGACTTTTGGTGCGTCCCGCAAATTGAGACGATGTCCCGCATATTTCATTTCGATTGGCTAAAACGCTTTTCTAAAATCAGATTTATCCAATGGCTGTTGAGAAAGCAGGGAAGGCTATCATCACGGGGGTGTGTTTGCTGTCAATTAAACTGTAACACATGGCGGGTGCTGCCGGTCAAGCAGCGACGTGCAGTCAGGGGAGGCAGGGGAGGCAGAGCCTCACCTGTCATACTCCAATGTAACGGAAAAACAACTAAAGAAAAACTAAATAGTAATAATAATAAAATGTCTCCACTGATCTGTGTTGTAAGTGTGATTTCTGTTTGATTCCAATCGCTTTTTATAGTCAAAATCAGCAAATTGGCCGAGCTCCGCTAACTACATGGGAGCGAAGAGGAGTGAGGCAGGGACGAGCTCTGCCTCTCGTAAGCCCACAGTAACTGGCTGGAGCACTTATTTTGTGAGCGCGCTCAAGCCAGTTACTGTGGGGTGAGGTGAGGCACAGATGAGCTCTGCCTCACCTCAGAATGCGTCACCCCACAGAAACTGGCTGGATAGCGGGCACTAAGCGCATGCCTGTTACCATCTCACTGTATGTCACCAATGTAATGTTTGTAGATCCCTTTATTACATTTATCCTCGCCATCCATAGTCTCTAACAGACCACTCTTTCCCAATGTAGGTCAATGGGAAAAAGTGTTTCTGGGCCCAGCAACCTAAAGGAAGTGTAGTACCGCCGTTTGGCCACAACGAATATTCTCATCAGACTCCGGCGCACTTCCTGGGGGCTTGGTATGCTCTTCCTCCTGTCTCCTCGTCACCTGTGACCCCTTTATACCAAGCCCCTAGGAAGTGCGCCGGACTCAGATGAAAAATATTCGTGGTGGCCAAACGGCGGTACTACACTTCCTTCGTTCCTCAAGTTGTAAAAATGTGCTAATAACGTTATTCTGAGAGTTATTTCCCTCTGCATTATGAACGCGCATCTAACCCACGGGACCGCGCCGCCCGGCACGTTGATGTTACGTGTTCAGCATGGTCCCGACCAATCAGAGCACACTGTGCTCACAGGGACGGTGGGGGCTGGAGCTATTGGAGCTACAACGAGCCGTTAAAGGCAGAAAGTGACATTCAGTGAACACACGTAGTTTACAGAGATGCTGTATGAGAAACCAATGAGTTGCGTTTATCTTTACCCATGGATGCACAATAAGAACGGACCCATATCGTCTTACTGCCATCCCACGGAGCTGTAATAATGGATATATTGCACATGTTTGCTGTAATTCATTATTATACTACATGGGCTGTATGATTACACCTTATACCGTAAATGTTGTGTTAAATAAAGTTAATATTACCGACGTTATTAACGTCCCTGTCGCTTCGTATTGCACTAAGAAGCTTATTGCACTGTATATATATATATACAGTGTGTTTAGAGTGGGTGAGGTCCTGATAATTTATTCCGGTAAATTACTCTGACCTACTAATTGACCTGACCGAAGTTATTGAGTCTATGTAAGTTTACTGCTTGGCTCATATCCACCAACGTCAGCAAGATCTCACCTCTATTAACTCCCCGAAGAACCAGGTTCAATTAACTGCTGTTTCAATTCAGACAACTCTCTTAAATCTGTTTAAGCGATCCCAAAGGATTTTGATATCAGTAAATGAGGTGTGGCCCTACCTAAGTGTGAGTGTGGCAGGGTGCAGTCTTACCTTTGAAGCAGGAGAGGAGAGCGCTGATGTCTTTTAAGTTGTCCCAATCCAAAAGGTGGGATCAGTTTATTTGAAGAAAAATAGGTCCAAACTTATACAGGGTTTTTACCTTCTCTCTTTACAACATTATAATCATACTAAACAAAATGATGCTGTGATCATGTTCAAATATGAAACTTTAATTCACAGTCTTACATTTATTACCAACATGTTTAACTTCAACTGCCCAATTCAGTTGTGATTTCTAAATCTCCCGATAGAATTTAGAGGCATTTCCTCATAAATGACTGGTGATAATAAAAAGCACATTCAAACTTTCATTTTCACCCAATCAATTCACATCAATTTCATACCTTTTTTCCGACACAGACGGTGGGAATAACATTCAAATACCCATTCCTATCCGCATGAATTCGGAGGAAAATCCTCACAGGTGGCGGGTACTAATATTCACAAACACATCTCCCATCAAATCATTCCACTCAGCAAACACATCTCCCATCAAATCATTCCACTCAGCATTCAACCAAGAAATTCACTCAGCATTCAACCAAGAAATTCACTCAGCATTCAACCAAGAAATTTGAGAGATATTTACCATGTCTGAGAGAACCTTACCGAGAGCTATTAACCCAGCTCTGAGGGCCAGAGCCTACCGGGAGAGAGTATACCAGGGGAACCCCCCTCTCTCTCTCGCTCTCTCCAAAAAGCCAGTCTCTTTATGCTCAAAAAAACCGGATAGAAAACCCCAAAAACACCTCCTCCACCCAACCAATGAAAAAACCTGGGCATGGCCACTGATGTACAGGACTGGACATATTCTATTGGCTATGACATAAGACACACCTTCCCATGTTTGTGTAAAAAAGGACATGACCAGACATATTCTATGGCTATGACATAACTACCTTTTTGAGGCCTCAATGTATTTCTCCTTAGGTCCGGAGC